CTACTTGGAAGGCTGAGGCGGAAGGATCGCCGGAGCCCAGCAGGCGAGGCTGCGGTGGCTGGGAGCAGCCACTACACTCCAGTCTGGGCAGCAGAGTGAGACTCTAACTCTAAATAAATAAATAAATAAATAAAGGGAGGGCACGAACGTTGGCTCAGCCTATAATCCCAGTACTTTGGGAGGACTAGGTGAGAGGATTGCCTGAGCCTGGGGGTTCGAGACCAACCTGGGCAACTTGGTGAGACCTCATCTCTACATCACAAAAATTAGCCGGGCGTGGTGGTGTACATCTGTCGTTCCAGCTACTTGGAAGGCTGAGGTAGAAGGATCGTCTGAGCCCAGCAGGTCGAGGTTGCAGTGGCCATGAGCATGCCACTGCACTCCAGCCTTGGCAACAGAGTGAGACTCTGACCCCCCAAAAAAAACAAAAAAAAAAGCACTGAGACTGAGGCAGGAGAATCACTTGAACCCAGGAATTCAACACCAGCCCGGGCAACATGGTGAGATCTCATCTCTACCAAAAAAAAATAATAAGCCGGGCTCGGTGGCTCAACCTGTAATCCCAGCACTTTGGGAGGCTGAGGTGAGAGGATTGCCTGAGCCCGTGGGTTCAAGACCCGCCTGGGCAACTTGGCGAGACCTCATCTCTACAATAAATCAAAAAATTAGCCGGGCATGTTAGCGTGCACCCATAGTTCCAGCTACTTGGAAGGCTGAGGCGGAAGGATCGCCGGAGCCCAGCAGGTCAAGGCTGTGGTGGCCGGGAGCGGCCACGGCACTCCAGTCTGGGTGACAGAATGAGACTCCAACTCAAAAAAAACCCCAAAAAACAAAACAAAACAAAATAGCTGGTGGTGTAGCACACACCTATAGACCCAGCTACTTGGGAGGCCAAGGAGAAAGGATCACCTGAACTTGGGAGGTCAAGGCTGGGAGCCATGATTGTGCCTCTGCACTCTAGCCTGGGCAGCAGAACGAGACCCCGACTCAAAAGGGGGGGCACCGAACACCTTTTGGCCTTCTCTTGAGGCTATGCAGTGGGTCAACCAGGCATCATGGTTGGGCTTGCGGTGAGCTCTAGGGGTGAGGGGGTGTGTGGGGGTGTGTCTGTCCCTGTGACCATGGCCCCAGAATCGAGGTTCTCGGTGAGCCGGTTCCTCGCTCCAGGCTATCTCCTTCTGCTTCTTGCTACCTTCCAAAGCAAGGGACAGAATTGACAGCCTTTCCTGCTCATCTGTGCCTGTTTCTCCCCTACTATGGGGGGACACTGGGCTACGCTGAGGGGTTCGCCTGTGTCTAAGATCCTGCCAGGCGCACATCTGGCGAGGACGCTCTGTGGCCCACTGGAGCTTTGGGCTCTGTCCCTGTTCCTCGGCGTGCTGAAGAATATCCCCTTCCTGATAAATGAATATCCCCTTCCTGATAAGAACCCCACATGGATGGGGGGGGTCAGGCCTCTGGTGGGATCCAGCCTGGCCACTCACCAGCTTCGTGACCTTGGACTAATCATTCGACCCCTGCAAGCCTCAGTTTCCCATTCGATAAAATGGGGTGATAGACGCCGCATCTCAAGGTTGACATGTACCAAATGACCAGAAAATCCAATATTGTTGCTACAATCATCATTATTATCATTGGGGTTGTAAATTGAAGACAAACTATCGGGGGCAGAAGCCTTTTAAAGTAGGATTTATTCCCCCAGTAATAACCGAGGACTTGTTCTTTCCGCCAGGCTTTAATTCCCGGTCAGGCACTGTGTGTCACTTGTCCTCGTGCCCCCAGGGTCCAGCTGGGTACTCAGTAAACACTCCAAGGCCGGGCAGGGCATGGCGGCTTGGGCCTGTAATCCCCTCCCTTTGGGAGGCTGAGCTGGAGGATTGCTTGAGTCCAGGAGCTCGAGACCAGCCTGGGCCACCTAGCGAGACTCCGTCTGTACTTTTAAAAAGTACAAAGCACCCAATGCACAAACGGGGCAAAGGCAGGCGTCGCCGTGACGGGGAGGCGTCCAACACCGAAAAGAGACTCTCGGGCGGCAAGAGGGTGGACCGAGGATAGCTTTACTAGTTCTCGGGGGCGGCTAACGGGAGAAGGGCGG